CACGTACAGAGTGAGTCAGAAAAAATGTCCTACTTTTAAAAGTTGTATGTTTGAAGTATGAATATCTAATCATGAGTTTCATGATATGTCTTGATAGAGTTATCCTCCCAGTACATTTAGGTACCATTTTCATTTGAATCTCTGCATGCATGACTGAACATCAGACAATCTTTACAAGAATGAAAGATCTCACTTGCGCCAAGTTGCTAGGTGAGGAATAAAATAATGTTTTGAACAAAACAATTAGCCAGACAGACAAAACACACAAACACACGCACGCACACACACACACACACACACACACATACAATTTCATCGTATAACTATACCGTTTCGGGATAGTTATACGATGAATGTGTTGTGTTTGGACACGGGGTTTGTCCTCCAAAACCGACTCCCTGATTGGGGTGATATGTTTTCTATGCCTTTGCAACAAAGTAGCCGGATGCATTATGTTTTCGGGTTGTCCTTCCGTCCGTACATTCGTACGTCCAGTTCTCGTGATCGCGTTATCTTAAGAACCGATTGACGGATTACCATCAAACTCTAGGCCTCTTTGAATCTTGCTGATCTGATGATCGTATTACCATTATAATCGATAAACAGATTACCATCAAACTCAAGATATGTATGTATCTAGCAGAGCCAATAAAATGATTAGATTATGGGTCATGAGGTCAAAGTTGATGGGGCTTATTATGTCTGCTAAAATAGATTGTGATCGCATTATCATTATAACCGCCGGACGGATTACACCATCAAACTCAAGACATGTATGTATTTTGCAGAGCCAATGAACTGATTAGATTTTAAGGTCATGATGTTACAGATATAAGCGTCATAAATTTATATGAAAAATAGCTTGTAATCACGATTCTAAGAACCTGCTAATGGATTACAATAAACTTGAATATTAAACAAATGCATCTGTTTTGGTTTGTAAAATCGCTCTGTGCAGTAGGCATCATTTTCAAGTGAGTGAAGTGAATGTTCCATCTAGTCTAACTTCTAACCTGTATGGCATGTTTTTCTTTCATGTTTGACTACTAGATATCAACGAATGCCTGTTTACGAATGACTGTACTCACATCTGTAACAACACCGTCGGTGGTTATTTATGCTCTTGTCACCCAGGCTATTCTTTGCATGTTAATGGATTTACATGTATAGGTAAGCCTAATACAAATGCTTATGGAATGCTAGTGTTAGACCTTTTCTCGATTCGTTAGTAATAACAAAATTGATGCCTAAATATAATTTCTATTTTCTAAAGTTCCTTGAGACATTGTAGATATATTATAACTAGGACATTACTATGATTAATATCGTTTTTTGTTTTATCATGATTGTTATTATTATTATTATTATTAACATATTACCATTAATAGTAGTAATAGAGGTAGTAGTAGTAGTAGTAATAGTAGTAGTAGTAATAGGAGTAGTAGACGTAGCAGTAGTAGTAAAAGTAGCAGTAGTAATTATATTAGTAGTAGTAATAGTATCATTATTATCACCTATTACATGTTTTGCTTCTGCTACTACTACTACTGCTACAAATACATCATTAAGAATTAATGTATGTATGATTGCTTGATGATTCGTCACATGATGTGAACATGTTCTGTATCTTATATTTCATGTAAATTCATTATATAAATATGATTATACATACTGTATGATTACATCATGATCATGCCAATGCCATATATATTATGAGTATACATTTTAAATACCCTTTCAATTATTCAATCAATTGCTGTAGTAGCCCCATTACCTCTGTTACACCACCCAATCAACCTCATACTGACTCCAAACCAACTTCACACTAACTCCAAACCGACCAGCACTTGGCCAGTTCAGGTAATACCTGGGCCACACCAATGGGACCGACAGCAGACCTAACGAAAAAATTGCCTTAAATCGCCAAAATCCGGTCAGTTTGGTGCCTCTGTCTGTGAACAAAAAAAAATGAATAAATTGGATTCCCGTTTTCAACGACACTATGTGATTTGCAATCATTTGTCAATCCAATTATCTAATTCAATTAGAAGAAAGATATCTTCCAGAGCCAAATCAATAGTTTGGTTCATTTGATTTGATTTTCATTTTAACAGCCTAAAGTAAATGTAAAATAAAGATGATGTATCTTGATGATACGATTTTAAAACTTTTTTTGTGCCCAGACTTATTTTCATTATTCTAATACAACCATTTGTCAGTCGCAATTTCACTACATCGACTAAAGCTGGCTTTTCAATGAAAGCAAAGTCAAGAATATGATATAGCAGCAAGAGAGATATAAACACTCAATCTTGAATAACAGAACTTTTTTGGAGTAATTTACATGTCCTTTATTGAATTACTTCACAGATGTTAATGAATGTTCTTCAAACCCATGCCTAAACGATGCAGAGTGTAACAACCTCTTGAACGACTTCTCTTGTGATTGCTCTCCAGGGTGGGAGGGCTACACATGTGAAATCGGTATTGTTTGTTTGTTTTGATCATTTGTGCGTTTGCGTATTCATTTATTTTGTAATTCTGTAATTAGGAACATGCAATGAAGAATACATGAAGAGGAGTAATTTGATGTAGAAATACGCCCGGTAGATGTGTATATCTAAATATAAACACTTTACATATATAACTTTTTGTTCTTATATCTACCAAAACACATCCCTCTTTGGTTTGTGAGTCAATTAGTATGCCAGTGTTTTATTCTGCATCACTATTAATACATACACACTGATCAGGATATAAACAAGTAGCATAATAATTATTACTTACCGTATAGGGCATATTGTATCTGGCTGTGAAATGTGGTTAATCCATTGGAGTAGATACTGGATGGAAAATAGAGAAAGAAATAAAGTAAAGAAATTAATAAATACCTCAAGTAATTTTGATGAAATCCCATTTCTCCTATAGATATTGACGAATGTTATTCCGGACCGTGTTTGAATGAAGGAACATGCGTTGATCGTCCGAACTCGTTCACCTGTAACTGCACTGAGGGTTGGTTTGGCATCTCTTGTCAGAGTGGTAGGTTTTGCAGGCCTTGGACGACAGTTTGGCGTAAGCCATGTTTTGAATAATAGATACATTGCTTTTTTCTGTCTATCAAATGATAATAATAATAATAGCTAGTTCTTATATAGCGCTTTTCAGGACCGAAGGCCCTCTCTAAGCGCTTTACAGATATATATCGTTATATTATTACCCCGGTCATCGGATTCAGGCTTACCCGCACACAATGTATGCACATTCTCCACTCCCTGGAGAGCATTCCAGCCAGGCGTCATGTTTACAAGCGCACACTTGCTAATCTAAGCACATTAGCTTTCGCATCCTACCGGGTACCCATTTGACACCTCGGTGGAGAGTGGCAAATGTAGATCAATGTCTTACCAAAGGACATTAGTGCCGCGGTGGGACTTGAACCGCGGATCTTGTGATCCTTTCAATGATAAACAGTGAAAGGATATTTTTGGATGATGAAGAAGGTAGCCTGTTGCAAACTGGAATCAGAAATAGAATAGCATGAAAGTAATCATATCAACGAAATATCTTCATCAATGTGGCAGTGATTATTCTAAAATGCACATATGTAAACGATCTGGGTTATATTTGGGGGTCATTTGTACAAGTGCAAGTTCCAAAGCGACTTATTGTAGCAATCTGTGGACCTAAGGTCTTATGTCCTATCCGAGGGACTTGGGAATTGAGACTTATTGTTCTCTCAAAAGACATTAACACATTTACTTGGCTTTGAACCCACGCCCTTCTGGTTTATAGATCACTGCTCTACCACTGAACCAATGTGTTTTTCTCAATAGGCTACTGTGCGTCGAATCCTTGTCTCAATGGGGGTACTTGCATACCAGCTGAACAACAGTGTACATGCTCAACGCTCTACGCGGGAACAACATGCACCATTTACCAAACAAAAGATGGTATGAGCTCCATGATTCTGTTTTAAACTAAGTAATGCCTGTTTGCCAAACACAAATCATATCAGATTTCAATCATCTCTCATATCTGCCATGGAAATATATGCAGGATACATTTGGGCAATCGTGGTTCCATTCGCGTATACAATATCAGAACAGGAGTTTAAGTCAAAACCGCCACTGAGGCCTAAATAAATTGATTGTTCTTATGACTATTATGTGTCATGCCTCAGCCATGGACCAAATTTGTCTCTGCTAAAACAACTCTATAACGAGAGGTAAGGAATTGATACATTTTCTATTATGCATATTCTAAAAAATATTTGTTAAAGATTTGATTATGCGATCAAGATTCCTACACAAATGGTTTATTGATTTTTGTTTTGAAAAGTTTCATAATTTTACGTTGATACAGTGAATACAAAAAAAGATAATCAGCATTGACGAAAGTAACTCATAATTACCAACGAACATTCCTTTTGTATTGTATTCTCCGAATTGGTTTTTTATGAATTATTTTGACGTTTGATTTGATATTCTACATAATAATTTTTGAAACAAATATAAAATCATAATGCAATTATATAGTCTACATTTTTATTTATAGTTCCTTTGTAAGAAGTAGAATTGTTATTGAGCGTATATTGTATCTATCTCAAGTTCATGGCCTCTGGGAATTCTTTCTCATTATTTCTAAAACACAAGAGTTCAAAAACGCTGAAAAATGTAAAAGCATTGCTGATGTCTTAGCTGATTGCAAACAACATACTTCCCACCCACTTCTACAGATCATTCATGCGTTAAAATGTAGAACATTAATTTGAGAACATGTGAATGTAGTAACGGCTGTATAATAAATAAATAAACATTTGAAGTAGTTTTTACAACACAGTCTTCATAATGTATGTTTGTTAGAAACAAATCATTAGATTTTAGATTTGTATAAAGACAAATGTCACAATTAATGGTAGTGAATGTTTTTCGTCATCCTTACTAGGTGTGCCAACCGTTACCACTCACCCCAGAAATAAAACTGTAGGTATATCAGAGATGGTAGTATTGAACTGTGAATTCCAAGATGTTCAGCACTTTGACTGGTGGAGAGATGGGAAAAAGGTGCCTGACACCCGTGATATATCTAACTATGTCATCGATGAGATGAGCCCCCCTGATCAGGCGTACTATAGCTGTGTTGGTATCCCAGGAAACGGACCTCATATTGAAAGCAACCAAGCACTGCTTAGAATCACGGGTAATTTATTAGATATTTTTCAGGGGGAGGGGGGTTAACACAAAAATAATTACATATGAACTTTTACTTTTAGACAACGACCCAAGAGAAATACATCGTTATCTCCTCATACCCTCTCCTAATACCCACTTATGATACTTTTCCCAAATGCTATTACCCCAATAATAAATGATCATTACTCGGGACTATTTGTCAGTTAATATCATTGGGAACGTGTAATTGTGGTCCAGGGAGTACTTGCACTAGAATCCATTATTTTATTTGTGTTTATAATAGTAATGATAATGATAATAATCAAAAGCTACATTTATGACTGGCACGTATCCATCCCAGGGGTGTTCAAGGTGCCTACAGAGTAGTATTGTTAGTTTGTTACCAAGGCTTTAAAGCGTTCAAGGAATAAATTCCAACCAGGTACCAATTCAAAACACCAGGGTGACGAGTGGCAAATGTAGATCAATGTCTTCCCAAAGAACATTAGTACTGTGGCATGACAAGAACCGCGAACCATGTAATCCACAGTCCCGTGACTTATCCACTAGACAATGACACGTCAATGTAACCTCATGTATGTTTACCAAACAACACATATCCGTTGAAACTATGCAACATCGTATCACAGCAATACGCTATCTGCATATTGCAACACTACTAGGGAGTTTATTGAAGGTAGGCTAATAAGTATGTAAATTCATTTCACAAAATATGTTTCTATTGATTTATGTGTGAACAACTTTTGTGAAATATTACATATTTTAAATGGTATCTATTATTTGTTTATTTTATTTTTATAAATACAGGTATGTCTATTTTTCATCTGAAGTTCAAGCTTGTAAGAAATTTCACCACCTTTCACGCTGATCAAGAATCTTCAGATTACAAGACCCTTGTGCGTGCTATTCGAGAACAGGTAAGGGGATGTAAACTGTTAAGTCATTTGTGATATCCCTGATTTAGAACGCTATACATATTACTTCAGTGTTCCCAGTGTGTCTGAGGATACATCCTTGATTTGGAAGCAATGTTGCCCAGCTTCTTAAAATTAGAAGCCTATTCAAGTTTACGAGTAGTCAAGACTGAAACAAAACGAGTAAAAAACGATTAATGTTTACCTGCTTCTTTCATTCACATACTCATTCTTTCGTCCATTCCGTTGCCCAATATAAATTCGCGGTGGAAATTTGGTTCACTCACAGAGATATTAAACACCATTGTATAATGATATCATGTATAGTTAATAAACAATGGACAGAATATATGAAACTAGCAGAATACATTTTGCTACTTTTTTGTTCAGTGTCTATGTAAGATACAGCCAAACCCTAAAAAAGACAGTTGCTAGGAAATGTCTAATCTTATGTAAACAATAATCAACTGGATTAAACATCTATGATAATGCTGGCATCGTTTGATATCTAGTTCGAGGCAGTGTTTCAGGCGTTTAAAACCGAGAGTGACACCAATGGCACTATTTACCTTCACGTGAATCAACTTCTACCAGATGACGGTGTGTTGGTTGATATGAGAGCTTACATAGCGAACAGTAGCATGACTACACAAGAAGAAATGGACCTGCTGTGGAGCGGCTTATTTCATGTAGAGGAAGTTTCTGATGGTTACCTTGACCCTTCCATCCTTCTGGTACTAAGTACAGGTGAATCTTGCTCAATTGAAGTCATATTTTAACTATAGGAGTTAAGTATTCTTCTTATTTTCCTCTTCAAATTGGCAAGAATGAATTTTGTTTTCCACGCCTTCATAGTTTGGAGACGAGAAAAGTTATTAGATCAACTTATGTAAAAGACAATTGCAAAAGTTAACACACATTTGCCAATTTGGACAAGGAAAATAGTGATTTTATATCTATACTGTGTTGCTAATTTATAAACTATAATGATCAGTTACACCGTACTGCATTGGAAGTAGACTCAAAATTTTGATAGACTTCAAATGATGCATAAACGTCACTAAATCGAGACAGTGTGCTGATATAGGTTGAAGCCAAGTGAATAATATATGATCTAACTACGATTCGATATTTTTTGATATCGAGGGGTCAGCGATACAAAGACGTAACTCTATTTTGGCCATTTTGAGAAAAAGTGGTTTATGTATCACTGAGCACTTAGGGATTGAGGAGTTAAGTCTATGTTTCACTAGCCATTGACTTCAATACGGTGCTGGGTGGAGTTAAGTCTTTGTGTTTCCTGAAAAGCCCACATCCTATTGCATCACTTCTTGAAATGTTCGAGAACTGCAATGGCAGATTATGAAACCTAAATTTTCTCTCTTTTAGTTTTATGTCCAAACACCTCTTGGTCATCTCCGTATGGTACTGTCCAGTTTTCGTCAGGAGACCTTCATTCGTGGAGCGAATCGAGTGGAGAATGTCCATGGTTCACCGTCAATGGTACAATGTAACAAATACTTCTGATATTCCAGTTATGAGAAATATGTTTTCTTTAGTCTTTAGATAGTTAAGCTTATATGAGAAAGCAAACCCATGAATGTTAAGAGTAGTATACCGAATGGAAAAGTTCCTTCATAAAATATGACAATCATAATAATAACAGTGGTAGTAGTAGTAGTAATAATGATAATATTGAAAGCAGTACTAATATAACAATGACAAGAAGATGAAACAAAAAGAAAGATGAAGAAGAAGATGAAGATAGATATTGCCATGGTTATAATAATAACAATTACTCTAACTCGGGAAGCCTCTTCATCATCATGCTGTTCTTCCTAGGGCCCCTGCAGTCATTAGTACCCCGTGAACTACCAGGCACCTATTTACACCTGGATGGAGGGTAGCAAACGTGGATTAATATCTTCCCAAGGGACGTTAGTGTCGGACTGGGATTCGAACCCTCAACCCTGATATTGAGAGTCAAAAGAACAAACCGCTATACCCCGACATCTCTATACATCCACATACTATACCGTGTTAATATGAGAACGATAATATTTTTATTATATACTTTGGTTTTTCCATAAAGATGGAGAGCCAATAGCACGAGCCGTCTGCTACGGTGATTATATCTCCCCTTGTGCATGGGTACCTTCAGATAACTGCGGTGGCAATAAAACAGCTAATCAACTATTAATCTACTTACGAGAGGTAAACTTGATCTTATTCTAGTCTGTTATAGAGTTCCTGGTATTGTTTGTAGTAAATACATGATCAGCTGGCCCTGTACATCTAAGGTGCACACGAATGTTACTGCGGAATGTTCGCAACCCAATAAATACTAGAAAATTATATTTTATAAAAAAAATCATCTAAAAAACTTAAAACTAGATATGAAGGGGAAAAGATAAATTGGACTAATCCATTCTAGAGGAAAAAGTTCTAGTTGTAATTTTCTTACTTTGTGATAATATTATAATTTGGTAATTAATAGTAGGAGACGAATTGCTAAATTGTTATTACTATTACTAATATATTTATTATTGTTATTGTTATCATTGATTTATTCTTATTGATTCTAATATGATCATTATGAAAGAGATCTAATTATAATCATTGACTTTTGATATCAGTATCGCAAACCTTTAATTATCGAAAATGTTGAAAACGCGAATCTTCTGTTTTTAGTTAGTTTGTGTATCTAATGATGTTTTATAGCGCTAGTTGATATTTAAATTTCTTTCACTAAAATAAAAGCTGATTCTTCTAAGTTATTTAAAATTACACTTGTTTGAAAAAGTTATCTTAATTACACGAGAATTAATGCCGATAACCGGTCATTTCAAACTGTGGATTTTGTTGAAAGAATCTGAACACTGGTGAAAGCGACATCCAGGACGTTCTGTCACAGTTGATGGGGATCTCCCAAGACATGAATATTACTTCTGCTGGGGTCGGTGCTGCCTTTGACATCATTCACCAGACAGGGTCAATTTCTCAACCAACGCAAGAGGTGATTTGATCGTTTTTTTTAATTATTGAACGATAAGCATTAATTGATTTGATGAAAGATCACCCAGTTAAACAAAATACCTGAATTTCATTAATTGTATCGCTTTAGCGCTTAACAGATATTTTATTACCTCTGTCATTGGATTAAGGCTTCCCTGCACACAATGCATGCACATTCTTCACTCCGTGGTGACCATTCCAGCCAGTCGCCATTTAACGGACCCTCACAATGCTCAGCAAATGACATAAACGATCGCATCATATCGGGAACCCATTCGAAACCTGGGTGGAGAGTGGCTGATGTAGATTAACGTCTTGAAAAAGGACATCATAGTGCCGCTTGGGATTCGAACCCTGTACCTTGTGATCAATAATATGGTGACTTATCCAGTAGACTACAGCACATCTGTATTGTTGTTGCTATTATTTTAATTATCATTAATAATATTAATGTTATTATAATTATTGTTATCATTTTTATTATTATTGTTGTTATTATTATTATTATTATAATGATTACGTTGTAATTATAATCATTGTCACTGATATTATTATAATCATTCTTATTGTCATCATAATTTTCATTATGACTGTTATTTATGCTATTATTGTTATTATCCTCATATCATCATCATCATTAGTAGTATTACTACTATTAATATAATTACTATATCATGTATTATTAGTATCATTATTAGGGCCCATTACCACCACCACCACCACGACCACCATCATCATCATTATCATCATTATTATTATTATTATTATAATCATCATCATCATCATCATCATTATCATCTCTGTAATCGTTTGTTCTTGTTTTATGCTAGAATGTTGCCTCAGTCGTTGACATCGTAAGCAACCTTGCCGCGTTAGACCAAGCCCTCACCATGGATGCTGAGATGATGAATGGTGCCGTCAGCAGAGCCACCATGGCCTTAGAGAACATTCTTCTAGCCGTCAATGTGCCTTCAAACCAGACCTTCCAACAAGTGGCACCAAACCTAGTAGTACAGGTATGATGATAAACAAACGAATCATAAATCATAAATCTGGATTTAAATACACTATCGAAGTGTGACTTCATATACTGGCTCAGTTGTCAAGGTTGCTGGTTCCAAACAATTTTGTTGTAAGCAATGGTGTGGTGATCAACCAGCCACAAACACTGAATTTGCCCTGCTCTAGGCCGTTACTTGAATGATTTTGCAGCGAACCTCATGTGCAGGCTCTGTTTTTTTCGAACCAGTAACCAGGGGGGCATTTCATGAAACAATTAGTCAGTGGTTTTCACCGACAAATATCATGTTCACCGACAATTCTTTTGTCACCGACTATTTTCCAGGTCTGTGATTGGTCAAATTTAGTCAGCGCTGACTAAATTGTCGGTGAACATGATATTAGTCGGTGAAAACCACCGACTAATTGTTTCATGAAATGCCCCCCCCCCCCCCTGGACGACGAGCGAATATGACGTTAGCACTTCGACGCTCTATATATATGAAATATCGTCTCTAAATGCTTTGCAGAAATCATGCTACTCCAGTAATTGGATTCATAAACGCTCATTGTGCACCATTTCCACTCCCTAGGGAGTATTCCTATCATACAATAACCATGATGAAATATGACCATTTTTATCACAAAGGCTTTCTTCATCCTACCAGGTCCCCCATTTCTCCCCTGGATATGGAGTGGCAAATGTGTATTAATGTCTTGTCAAAGTGCATTAGTGCTGCAAGTGTCGGGGATCTAACCCACGACCTTAGCATTTCCAGCCAAGGTTCTTCAACCGCTCAAAAACGTCATCTATATAGGTATGCATTGACTGCTATCTTATCATTTGGAGGTGTCGTGGTAAAGTGGCTCATCCACTCTCAGACCAAGGGTTGAGGGTTCGACTCCCAGCCTGGCGGCTTACTCACCATATCTGAAGAAGCCTTTACTCTTACAATGCATTTCTTTAGGTAATCAACTCTGAGTCTGATAGTGTCGGCGATGGGATCGGCTTCTCCATCATCGGCAATGACAGCCAATCCTTTGATGAAAGTGACATCCAGCTATCCACCAACAATCTCAGCAACAGTAACCTAGGTGGTGCTGTCCAAGCAGCCATCATCATTGGACCAGAGACCATTGATGAAGGCACCATGGGGAATATAGCATTCACTGTGTACCGAGACGATGCATTGTTTGTAACGGACGATCAAGTGGGAAGCAATGACGGACGTCGTAATATCACGGTCAATACTAATATCATCGGAGCGAGCCTCGGTACGAGTGAAACCACACCTCTGAATGCTTCGGTCACCATAACACTGGCACACAAACAGGTAAGATATATATCACTTCATGAGCTAGTGTGTATATTCTACCTGCTCAATGGGCGAATTTCAAGTCATGTACAAAGTTGTAAAACCCACTGAGATGAATATTGGATATGTATTCATCAAGGTTATTTGTTCATGCACAATACATTTCATGATACATGAGTGAAAGTGTTATTTTCAAGAGGGCAAAAAGTGCACCTCCGTGACTTTGGCAGTAATTATACTAAATTTCACAAATTTGGAATAAAGCATGAATAAATGAATCAATTTTAATTGATTGATTTTTATTCATATTCCATGCAAAATTGTCAATGTATAATACATTTTGCAAAACGTAATATTTCTTAAATGTTGAAGTATATAATCCAGAACACTAGTCATTAATGGAATGACAGAATATTCTGCAAATTTACACGTCATTTTCTCTCAAAACAATTTTATATACTTCCAGCAAAATGCAACGAATCCGCAGTGTGTGTATTGGGAATATTCCACCAATGCTTGGTCAAGCGATGGCTGTGATATGACAATCACTTCCGAGACACATACCGAATGCCGGTGTAATCATCTAACAAGTTTTGCTGTCCTTATGGTGAGAACATGAAATAATAATGATGATAAAATTGATGATCATAATAATAATGATAATAACAACAATACTAATCATAATGATAATGATTATAATAATGGTAATACTAATGATAACAAGATCATGATTATGATAGTAAAGAAAATGATGATGATAATGATACTAATGATAATATTTAAAGGTACATTATTCAAGAGAGTCGCATAGCATACTTTACATTTAATAATATTCTGTATGCCATTTACAAATGATATCATCGTGATTTGCACATTGTCGGGTGTTAATATTATGTACTGTTTACATAATCCCCTACAGCAACTAAGAATCAAATTAATACATTAAAAATTCGAGACGAAATCGGACGATTCGTTACCTTTGATTCGTGGTTCTTATCAGCTTCACCATCTAACAACACGTCATCCTTTGGAATTGGCATATTCCCATTCAATAATTTACATATTCATAACAGTACTGTTGATACCTCTTGAAAAAAAAAATTGTCAGAGTCTGCAGATAAATCATTTAGAAACAACTATATAAATCTATCTCCAAATTGGTGTATTCTATTTCCACATTTTGTTGCCTTCTGTTTCTCCTCAGGACGTAAGTGGCAGCCCCAGACGATCAGAGAGAGTTGAACAAGTGTTTAGGATTCTCAGCTACATAGGATGTTCTCTCTCTATTGTAGGCCTCTTGGTGACCCTGGCTGTCTACATCACTGATAGGTAAGACTCTGAGGAAAATCCAACATTCATTTTTATTCTAAAAGAAGGGACAACAATCAGAGAAGCAGGCAATTGAATATTTCAACGAAATCGGACCCACCAACAATGAATTTGTAAAAGATTGCTCGCAACTTTCCCATTTGTTCTACACACCAAATAACTAAGATATCATTTTCTTTCCAAAATGTGTAAATCAAGAGGGTCTTTTCTTTTAAAGGACCTCTTATAATATGCTATCCATGATATATATTGAGTAGTGTCCCCAAGAGAGAATACAAAAAATAATGATATTTCTGTTTACAATAAACGTCCTTAGCTACGTCACAATCCACTGACTGATTTTTCTTTTTCTTTCGCTATTCCTTTTCTCTAATTTGTCTGCTTTTGTACTAATGAACTTGTTCAAAAGTTGGATTGCCTCTAAAATTTTTCTACCCTTCTTCTATCAGCAAAAGCTGTCAACCCTTCGGGAGACCATAATCATAATGGTCTCCCTAGTTTAGTCAGTCTAGCGTTTAACCTCATTTTGGTTTATCATGGAAGTTATCTTTAATACTTTCTTAACACCCTCTTTAATTCTTACCAATTTTGTCATGTATCGACTACGCAAGATGTATTACGCTTTGTAAGTTGTTTTGGATTCTTATCCCTTGCTAAGTCTTGTTTATATTTTGTTAGGTATTCCCTATTAATATTTCAGTTTTCGAACGATGGTATAATTAAAAGCTATATAAAATATCTAAACTAGCCTTTTTAGATTACAGACGCTTATAGGAGTAGTCAGTGTCTACCAAAAGTGATGCTTCTGTTGTCATCTTTGCTAGCAATTACAATGTGCTTAGTAGGTCAACATAATCGACTCACCTACTCCGCTCTGAAGATTTTAAAATCCCTTCATACTAAGTATGTGTTTCTCTTTGCCCCAGGAAACTTCGTCACTTGCAGCACATCCGGATCTTAATGTGTCTCTGCATCACGCTCCTCTTCCTGTACGTCTTCTTCATCATCATGACATCACTCGACCGATATCCCGGAGAACCTGAGGTCGATCCAGGTCTGTGTGGGGTCATCGCCGCCGTCCTCCACTTCACCACGCTCTCATCGATGTCATGGATGGGCGTTGAAGGGATAAACATGTTCCTAATGGTTGTCCGTGTCATGGACTCGTATATCCCACTCTTCATGATGAAAGCCTCTATAATTGCATGGGGTAAAATTGCTGTTATAACTTCTTTGACCAAAACTTTTGTGGCCTATTGTTATGCAACTATGTTTTAGGGCCTCGAACCATACAAGCATCGCTTCTTTAGCATGCTCCTCCTTTTCAACGTATACATTCAGGTCAACAATGTTCTGTAGTCATGTTAAGTTCTTCATTATATCTATTTTGTCTATCATACAATTCTATTACATTTTGTTTTCAATTATTGAATTTATATGTACTTTGTACACGCTTATCATGTTCATATTGAAAAGGAAATCAAAAAGTTGATTAGTCACACCTTACTAAGCTTTGATTAAAGTAGGTCTATAAATTGTTGGTATATTTGCATTTCTTCGCTTAATATAACATAATTTGTCCTTCTTTTCTTTCTTTTTCTTTTTTTCATGCCTCTTTTTTTTTTAGAGAGAGAGTATTAATCAACCATGTGATATCAATGTATTTGTTTGACAGGAATACCTGCTGCGATAGTGCTCCTAACAGGTGTTATCTCGAGACAGAATTACGCCAACTCCGACTAGTAAGTACTCTCTACATTATGCTCATGCTATCCAACAAACATTCATAATAAAGTATGATCGAATTATCACTCTTTGTTGAACATGTTAAAAGTCACTGGAATGTTGGAGAATGTGTTGTTGTCTAATTTCTTGTAAAGACCACCGTGTTTCATTTCCTGATATGGAGTCATTTATTGAGTTGAATCAAATTCAGCTCATTTTCAGCTGCTATGGTAACAGAGAAAATAAATATTTCAGATAATAACCAAACGTCACTGAAAACTACAACAAATGAAATTAGTATGAATGTACGAGAAAAAAAAAGCCAAGGAATTTGAGCTAATCGTCGAACCCCAAGACTGTCAATGAACATGATGAGGTATGAGTTTGCTTGTCATTTGCATTTTAAAGAAAGTTTGTGCTAGTTTGATAACATTTTGTTAGTATAAACAACCATCCATCAGACGTGATAAAGATTTTCTCAATCCGAATATGTGATTGGTAATAGCAAAATTAAAGTATATCAGGTAATAAAGGCATAGTAAATCTTGTCGTCTTGCATTCATCAGAGTAAATGGGAAGAATAATGTCCGATTTCGGTTACTTAGCATCCTTGCCGTTTATTTTGATGATTGCAAGTTGAACATCTTTCAAAACTTTCAGAAACATGTTAAAAAAGTAAATAATGATATTATGTTAATACAATTCTGGAGAAAGATTCGTGTGTTTTGTTTTTCAATAGCGCCTTGAGTAAGTTATGATATAATTGAGCTTTATAAGTACTTATTTATTATTATTTATGTTATTATTATGTTATCTTTATTGTTTGATTTCTGCATCTCTTTTCATACTTGCACATTACCAGAATTTAGATTTAGCATCTGTCTATTTGGATGATTATTTTCCATTTTCAATTGTACAGCTGTTTTCTTCAGAAATGGCCACTCGTGGGCGGTCTCCTTATCCCAATGGCCTTCATTCTCACTCATAACGTGATCATCTTTGCCCTCGTTATGCGTCGTCTCGTGCGCATCAAATCAGGTGGCGGGAAAGCTAGCGAGTTGAAATCAGAGGCCCGCCACGAGATCATGCGCCGTCTCACAAACGGGATCGGCGTCCTCCTCCTACTTGGCTTGACCTGGCTCGTTGGATACTTCACCGTGATCGAACAACTCAACCTCGCAGTCCACGTCATCTTCATCCTACTCAACTCACTCCAAGGATTCTTCATTTTTGTTTTCTACGTTCTCCGACAACCGCAAAGCCGTGCTTGCTTGCGGGAACACCTGTTTTGCTGTTTCCACGATTCGTTCTCGATGACAAGGTCAGGTCCTATGAGTATGAAACAGACGACGATGACCGGAACAGATAATCCAATGTCAGGTAATGAGTCTGTGTTGAGCAAATCTGAAATCGATTAACATGTCTATAAAGAAAATTAATGCATTACCCAGAATTACTCACATTACCTTCCAACATTCATTTTTGGTATAGGCCCACTCATTTGGAAAACTTTGAGTCTAGTCAACAATTATCACTCTCCTTTAACCGTTTAAATAAAATTTGAAAGATTTTGTTTATGTACATTCAGATTCTTTGAAAATTGTGTTTGCCTATTTTGTTAAACACTGACTCAACAAAACTGTTAATATTGAAATTCGTTGATATCATATCTGAAGCTACTAAATGCAAATTATGGAATGCTATGATTAATTAAATATTTCAAATGGTATTAAGCAAATAACTACCGCTGGTGAAGGTGATAGGACAAACTATCACTTCCGAGGCGATCTGGATGTAGCTATCTTTCCGAAGCGAAGCTGAGGAAAGAAAGCGTATACATTCTGATCGACGAGGAAGTGATAGTTTGCCATCGCCTGAAACCAAAAGGTGATTATTTGCTTTATATTCCACATCTAAAACAATTTAACTACAAAAAGAAAAGGTCGTGTGTGCATCTAGATGAAAGACACCAGGCCCGAATTGACACCAAAAAGTTACAAGTTTAAAGGCCCACTGCCCTACTTGTAGCTACTTGCGCCCTCTATATAACAAACAATGCCTAATCGGTGACCCTTGGTCCCCCATGATCCTCTTTTTCTTATGTTAATTGAGAGCTGAGTTGATGAGATAACCACCTGTCCAGTGACCTTGCAGGGCGCTCTTATCCCTCTTGTAAACTATGGCAGATAAGTTTTAGCCCAACCCTTGAGGGTACGGTGCGCGCATGTGTTTGCTTTAATTGCGCTCATTGGTAAAGCGCGCTTAATTACGCCTGTTTAAGAGCGCTTTTGGATAATCTTCAGTGAAAGTGCGTTGCCCTGTTAGGATAGTACCTCTATCTTCAGTGAAAGTGCGTTGCACTGTGTAGGTAGTAGTACTATCTACACAGTGTAACGAACTTTTTGCTTCTCCCATCAATAATGGGCGAACTATCTTTCATCACGTGATTTACTTTTGACCAATCGTAGAGCAAGATTCTTAGTATGTGGAATTAGTTAACATTAAACATGAAGACAATTTAATGTGTACTGCAAACCAGGATGGAAATAGGGCACCTACAAAAAGAAAGTCTCACGGCGAAAATATACAATATTTAGACATTCATTGGTATATAGGGATAAATTCAATGTTTTTTCTTTTCTTTTCTCTTATACATTGTCCAAAATACTGCTTAAGCATCATACTTTGCAGTTAGGTGTGATGGTTAGCATATTTATCTGCGAGCGAGCAAATATATTAAGATTTGTGAGGCCGCAGTGGAAAAAATTTTGCATATAAAGAGGGGAAAAAACAATCCCGATAGGGTTTTTAGCACAGTCTAATCATTAACAAGAATGTTGTTCTTGGTCGCTTTAAATTAGGAGCGTATTATGGTGAAAGGTAAGGGCAGCACATAGCCAAAGTGAAAAGGATACTTACGTTATGAGATCGGAAAAAGGACACTTATAAAAAAGGAAATGGCCTATTATCAGAAGAAAAATGGCACTAGAAAATGTAAGGGGCACGTGTCAGAATAAAAGGGGTACTGATTACAGAGTTCATCTGAAATGAATAAGGGCACTTGTGAGAACGGAATGGGTCAATTATTACAAACGATATCAGAGGTGACAGAAGGGAGTATTTGTAAGAAGAGGCAGTGGCTCTGATTAATAAAGAAAAGCGGCATTTAATCAACAGAAGGATATAGACCAGTTATCAGAGGTGAGGAGTGACACTCAACAATAATGAAAAGGACAATTATCAGAAGGGGTATACGCACTTATTACAAACTAAAAAGGGCACTTGTTAACGTAAAATGGGTACCTCTCTGAATTGAATAGAGGCACTTTAGGGTACGTGCCCTCATCCCTCCACCGGCTCCGGCTACTCTGCTACAAACATTAAATGCTCGTAGTAATATGCACAATTGAAATACTAATCGTTTGTGTACATGTAAAGTTGTTTAGAATATGTAGTCCTTATTTTAGATGATTCACATCTTCTGGTGGTTTTTTTTGTTTCCCAAAATTTAACTACAATATTTGGATTCGGAAATGTCTGTCATTCATTTTATGTCATTATGTTTTGTTACATTAAAAATGGGTGTTAAATATCGCTCACTCAAATGTATTGTTTGTTTATATTCATGAGGCATTTTTTCATTATAATTATGTTGTCTTCTTTAATATGTATTTCATTCGCTTGATTCTCGATGCAGATTTGCTATGGTGAGGGATCGTTACTTTATCCGGTCATATTTTATTATTATGCATATCATTGAAATTAGTACTATATTTTTCGCTTACTCGATATGTTCGTTAAAATTGAGTGAATTGGAAACTGGATTGTTTGTTGGATAAAATATTACTGGAAAAATCTGTACCCAATTTGAGGAACATATCACACCTAAAACTAATTTTACCCAACAATCATGCATGTTCCCATTTTACCCAATACATATGACGCGGTAAACCGTATGCAGTAAATGGCAACTGTGCACAACAAAGGACATGCATGTATTTACTGAGCTCTGTGTTAATATGAGATACAGAAATGTGAAACGTATTACACTTCACGTCATAATAAAAACGGCCGTGGTATTACTGCATCATATCTGAGCGAGGCTTAAAGGCATCGTTTAACAGTGTTAAATCTAAGATGCATGGCCCTACGTGTTACTCATTGTCTGTGATATGGTGTAATATTGAAGCCGTAAACAAAAATGCGCTTCAAAATGATTATGAAGTGCCTCAAAACAGTAAAAATCTTTGAATGCCCGGTTTTACCATACTCATTTTAACATACTCATTTTTCCCAGTAGACTGTATAGTTATAAAAAAAACCGCTAGGAAAACCAAAATTGAAGTTTCGATTTTCAATCATAAATATGTTGATAATCAGACAGGCGATCGGCTTGTAGAAGTCATGGGATTCCTGACAGACCAAAGGTTTATAATTATGATTGCAGCATAACTAAATCCAATGATTTTGTTTCAGAATCTGAAGCAATGTTACCGAGTCACTTTAATGGGTAAAATGTTATCCAACTGTTTTTAGACCGTAAAATTATCATGGTATGTGTATAGTCACACTTGTGTTTTCATTGTCTCCACTCTTATGTAAATAATTCATTTGTTGTGTAAGGGCCTAATGTTTGAAACAGAATAAATTGTGTAAAAAGATATGATTTTCACTCACAAAGATATATTATATCATTGGTAAGCTGTCGGTTGTTTGTTAAGAGGGCTTTATAGATATATAATTTTGTTAACTTTTGTTTACTCAGACATGTCAGATGTATATGAATATATAATTGTCTTTAGTAACAGCTAATTTACAGCTAACTTAGCGTTTCATTATAATCTCCTGAATTTTCTGTTCGCTTATTAAGTCGATTCATATTTTCTTGTGGTGGTACGTAGATAATTGTTTTTACATGTATCGGTTACTTATTATCATTTAGTTTACGCAGAGTACTTTTTAATCATTGATTGATGCACTGTTGATGCTGGTTTGTCAACATGAATGAATGAATGATGAGGATTGAAGGACCCTGTATTTTCTTTTATATTCGTCTTAATGCTTAATCTTTTATCATTCCTTATATCCTATAAAGTAAGTTTGAGAAAATGTCATCAAAATCCATACAAGAGCAATGTTATTTTTTGCTAGAAAAGGCGGCTGTGTCATTTTTGACCTTACAAGATAGAAGGGTCTGTGCACTCATTTATTTGACATGAAGTTGGGAATTTGGATGTGAAAGATAGCATGTCTTGGTTTGTGAATAAAATTAAACTTTCTTACTATGTTTTAGGGGTTTTATTTGTATTCTTTTATATGATTATTTTATGTTGCATGAATATGTATGGTATGATAGAGACGAACAATTTATCTTCGTTGGTGTTGAGTTTCACTATAGATTCATGCAGTTGCGCATAATTATGTGCAGACAAGGGTGCTGCACCGACTTGGGCGCTGTAGAGTCCAGACCGATGTACATTATTTCCTTCATGACCTTTCAGAGAATCAACTATGACTGATTCCTTTTTCTGAAGTGCTAAGAACTGTAGGGGGCTGCCAGGAGCTTGCAATATGATTTTTTATAGCCATAAAAGCTGTGAGTGTATATTGTTTCGTTTGAAATTGGAACAAAATGAAGACATACAACAGTGATCAAGGATTTTTAAGGAAGTGCTTTGTCACACAAAAATTACTTTTTTTGCACTTCTAGATGCAGTCAATTTCCCCTCATGTTCATCCAAAAATTTGTATTTGCATTTCAAAATGTCATTTCCTAATACGGCCTAAACTGACCTGATTTATCCCCCGTTATCAAATAATTGGAAAATAACACAATGTAATGTAAATGTAACATACGTTTGCTTTTATATTTCTGCTATCCCATTGTCAAGAACCAGAAGGACATTAGTAATACACTGTGATACAATGTACAATTTGTGCGCAAAACTTAATGCCCTTCTAAATATCAGCAGATGTTCTGTCGATGAGAAAGGTAGTGTCACAGACTTGGAAATTTTCTCTACGGCCTTTATTCTGCTAAAAGTCAAACCCGACCCTAGTCTAAAGGATTATTTTTGCTCAAATCGGGTTAACAAAAGAAGTTTGAGCTCTATTTTTTCTAATGCAATTCTTCTGTTTGAATGGGCAATGAACCGGTTTACCAACATTACAATTTACGCATACTTTTTAAGCAAAGGCTTTTCTTGAAAACATGGAATCTTGCTTGAATTTTGAATAATTGAAATTAACAGCAGAAAAACATCAAATCACTTTAAAAGAAGGCATTAAAATATCACCAAAAAGATTAGAAGAGAAAAAAAAATATAAGGAAATTGGTAGAAAGTAGAGAAGGAAAGAGAGAATGAAAGAAAGAGAAGGAGAGGGAAAGGGAGAAAGAGAAGGAGAGAGAGAGAGAGATAGAGAGAAATAAGCCATGTCAAGAGCAGTATATGAATCGGCATTGTATCACACAGGTTTAAACAAATTGTCCTTGTACATACGTTTAAAGACATCGATATATTTAGCATTTTGAAAAGCAAAAGGTAAACTATTCCAGATTTTTACCACCAGTGTATCTAAAACAATTCTAAAAACACTCAAGATTAGGCTTGGGTAAAACAACATTTAACCTATTGGCAAGTCTAGTGTTAAAACCATGTCTGTGAAAAGCCATTTCCACTTCATTGCACAATCGTACTGAGGCTTTTCCGTGAATACAGTTGCATATTATACATGCATAAAATAGTCCCG